ACCGGTATACGGAAATTACTCAAACTTTGACAGAAGGTAGAGAATTAGATCATTTACTTACATGCGAAGTTTCATTTATCTATCTGAAATAACACTCAAGTTATAGGCTTTTGAAAAATTCAAAGTAGAAAAAGCACCACTTCCGCTTATCGGAAATCGCTCAAAAGTTGAAAAGGATCTACGATTTTGATAAAATACTGATATATGAAATTTCATCAACCTAGCTGTAACGGTACTCAAGTTATCGTGTTTACACACACACAGACACACACAGACACAGACACACAGACATACGGACAAGATTGCAAAATTATGTTTCTCCGTATCAGTGAGGTGTAAAACGTCGAGATTTATAAAAAAATAGATTTTTTTCTTGCACGATTACAAGACTTTCTCTATACTTCGTATATACGAGAAAGTAAAAACAATTACATTGACTCACAAACAGAAAATTTGCACTAAAATGTCTTTCAAGCAATAAAAAAGTCGTTTATCAAGCAAACGAAAATATATATATATATATATATATATATATATATATATATATATATATATATATATATATATATATATATATATATATGAATGTATATGATCGATTCTACATTAGGTATTATAGTGAGCTTGAATCTATCATTAACATGCCTAAATCACAAGAAAGTTATTATAATCTGGTGAAAAACACAAGTCTAAATTTGAGAAAACAGTCATTGTGTATGTATTGCTTAAGCTAGTTGTAACCATACATTTTATTGCGAGTTTCAGAAAAAATAATACGCTTCATTTTCCATATTTCGTATGTTACAATTATATATTATAATTTAGATAGTATAATTTGGATATTAGATAGTAGGCGGAGTGTACAGCTTATTTCAAATCTATGATACACGTAAATGAAGGAAACAAAAGGCGCTTGATTTAGTTTACATTTAGCATTATAAATAAATGGCTTCTAACGTTTGTTAAATTGCACCAACTCTAAACGACCACAGCCGGTGTCATAAGACCCGAGGCGTAGGCGAGGGGGGGCCGCACCGGGTGACACCATTTTGGGGATGACACCAAGGCCAAAAATAGCAAAATATATAGAGAAAATATATAGAGAAAAATGTTAATTCCAAATCGAAAGTTTGAGGGGGGGGGGTGCAAATCGAAAATTGAAAGTTTGTCCCCGGGAAGGGTCGCTACACCTCTGGGGGGTGACACTATTAAGTGCCGCACCGGGTGACACCCGATCTCGCTACGCCACTGCATAAGACTAATCTTCATCCGCTATAATATTAAACCTACATGCTTAATTTGTGATTTTCTAAATAACTTCCCTGATGCTTTTAGATTCATCACTATTTAAACAAGAAGAGCTATTTAAGCTTATGTAATCGGGTCTTTCTTCCTGCTGTTGTTTACTTTGAATTTTTAGAAAAAATAATTCTGTGTGTTATTTCTACCTGCTCCAGAAGTAGGCCTATTCTGTATCACTGGCGGCTGCACAAGAAGGCAAGACCACTGGAATTGTAGCTAAGTGTCAAGTTTTAGCTTTTGACTCTGACTTACTACGTTGGTTCCTTTAGTTTTAAATTTAAAACTGGTCTCCGATTCTTGTAGTTAGCTTAGTAGTCTATTATTTGGTAAAATAGGCCTCCTTCTGTGCTTTTTTTTTTGACTCAATGAGCCACGTATCACATAATAAGGTGGTAAGAACAGATACTACACTTTGATCTTAGCCAAGATCTGTCAAATACTTTTCTTTTAGTTAGTTTTATTGTTAGGCGTAACCCGGTACACGGCTTGAGCACACGCGTGTCATGTGACCAGTGTACGTCCTAGCCAGGCTGCATAATGAGTGGCTCCACTAGCATCCCCGCCCTTATCAGGTACGCCATTGACTTTGGCTACGATGGGGCGGCACTCAGTGCATTTGTTAGACAAAGATACCAAGAGAATTTAGAGGACTTACAAGAAGAAGAGGAACGAAGAAGATTAGACGAGGAAGAAAGATTAAATGAGCTACAGTGGGAGGAAGAAATTAAAAGAGAGAAAATGGACTCTCCAGGTCAGTTTCTATGATTTTGAAAGATTGGAATGGGATAACATCAAAACAATAGAAAAACAAGAAGACAAACTCTTAAAAAATACCAGCATATTAATAGCTTGAGCAGCTGAAAATCTCGACCATATAAGAACCTAAACCAACACCCGCTACTGGGTCTACGACAAAGTCCCGAAAGACACTTGCCCGAATGCCGTTTGCCCGAAGGCCGATTTCCTGAATAGACACTTGCCCGAATGCGACAAATGTCCGAATGGACACTTGCCCGAATGCGACAAATGCCCGAATGCCACTTGCCCGAAGGCCGTTTGGCCGAAAAATGTTAACATTATATTTTACCAAATAATCATTCGTAATCAATTTAAATTTGAAATGTTGATACACAAAAAGTATCTAAGCAAAAAGAATGTAAAAAAATAATATTATATATTACCACGCAGACATTTTAAATTAATTAGTATTTGCTATATAAAAAGTGTAGAAACATACTTTGTCTTCCATCTATAAAACAAGACAAAAATACCATTTTCGTTTATCACAAGTTTTTAAAATTAATTTTGCTTTCTTTATTAAGTAATCGCTTCAAAAATTGTCTTAACAAGTGCATTAAATGGAGATCAAACGTATTTGACTACCTTTTGTTTTTAAATTCGCCGCCTAGACCACGCCTCGTTCTGTTGTGAAATGATCACCCCACAAGTTTAGCATAACAAAAAAAATGAAACAAACGCGCCTCTGTTCAATGTTGCGAGACACCTACACCGTGTCATATGCGCTATAAAGCCACCTCAACACGTCGGCTAAACAAAGTGATCAAAGCTGACATCAAAATAATGTCAGGACATCACCTTACATTTATTAAAGAATAAAGCATTTTTACAGCCATTTCTCAATTATGGAAATAAATAAAAGCTAAATTTTAAAATTATAAACAAATTTGTTTTTATGCTTAGAATTGTGTTTATTATCAAAATTTTAAACTTAAATTGATAAAGAATCTCTATTTGGTAATATTACTTATTATCTAATATTAACATTTTTCGGACAAAAGGCCTTAGGGCATTTGTCGCATTCGGGCAAGTGTCCATTCGGGCATTTGTCGCATTCGGGCAAGTGTTCATTCGGGCATTTGTCGCATTCGGGCAAGTGTCCATTCAGGCATTTGTCGCATTCGGGCGTTTGTCGCATTCGGGCGTTTGTTGCATTCGGGCAAGTGTCCATTTGGGCATTTGTCGCATTCGGGCAAGTGTATTTCGGGAAAACGTCCGGCGCCCCCGCTACTACACCCGACACACCAAGCCTGCCACAGGCAGAAGATATCTACACTCATGATGTTTGGCCGAGCCGTGAAAACGACCTGACTGTATTTACTTCCTCTTTCCTGACTGACTCATCATTTAACAAAACACCGGATGCTCCAGTCAACCTAGATTACACAGCACAAAACAACAACCCAGCAGAGGCGTAACGACCCTTCCCGGCGCCCGGGGACAAACTTTCGATTTGCACCACCCCCCCTCGAACTTTTCCTTTGCACGCCCCCTCAAACTTTCAATTTGGCGCCCCCCTAAGGTCGGCGCCCGGGGACATATGTCCCCCCCCCCCCCAGCCCGCCCCCCCCCCCTCGCTACGCCTCTGCAACCAAGCCACTGAGATAGTCAGCCTTATCAGCCCCACTGTTCTACCCGCCATACATACCAAACCTTACCAGCCCCTTGCCAGAGGAAACAAAATCGCCGACGAAAGGAGGATCGCTCTCGGTCCAGACTTACTAGTTCCAGCTATACAAGGGGCAGACAATCAACAATGTATGTTACAATTATCACCCTTCACAACAAAAACTGGTTCTCGCCCCTCGCGGACAGAATCAGACCTATCGTCCCCAACTAACAGCACATTTGATTACTACGTACCTGGCCACAAGAACTTTAACGCTAAAATTGGCCAATGCAGACAACCTCGTTTGGAAGCCCCGCCCAGTGTTTCTTCCAGACTTTTTCTCACGTGGGGGGGGGGGCACTTGAAGTTTTCGGGGGGGGGGGGGCGGTAGACTTTCTTTGGGGGGGGGGGGGGGGCGCACTCTGTTAAAAGTATGTATTTTCTATACAAATTTCATTTCCCTCGGGGGGAGAGGGTAGACCCGAAGAGATGCCTGGAAGAAACTCTGTCCCCGCCAACATATATACAAGTTGATGAAATAACGGTCCAAGGGGCGGGGGCGGACAAAAAAATTCCGTTAAAAGTATATATTTTCTATTTAAATTCTATTTCGTTTTGGGGGCGGTAGACTTTCTTCGGGAGGGCGGTGCCCCCCGAAAAGATGCCTGGCAGAAACTTTGATAGCTGTTGTGCCGTGGTCAACTCATCTCTCATTACTGGCGCTTCACCTTTTGCCACCCACCCCATACTGGGTTTTGAGAAGTCACTAAGCATAACTTAGCTAGTTAGACTTAAGGTGGAGTTTCTTAGTCAAGGTCGATTGCATGAGCTTAGCTGAATTCCAGCCTTGCACTTAATTGATGCAAGCTGCCCAGTTAAATAATAATGAAGCTAGTTTATGTATTACTTTGATATATGTTTGATACACAAGCATTACTTTAAAAAAATATATATTTCGACATTCTATCTTATGTCATCACTATTATTTACTTTCTCTTATATACAAAGTATAGGGAAAGTCTTGTAATCGTGCAAAAAAAAAATCGAGATTTTTACAAATCATTTTTTTTAATCTTGGTGCTTAACAATAATTGTAAATATTTGCAGATTTCTTTTTCTTCAACGAGCGAAAACAAATATTTACTAAAAAGTAATATACTTACTCAATTTTAAACTTCTCTTGAGAAAGAAAAATCACTTACAAATAAAATGAATACTTGGATGAAGGACAATTGTACAAGTAATGCAAATACATACAATTCTGACATATTAAATGCGTTGTTGGCTGCTTCGAGAGATGGAAACGTACAACTTATAAACATTTTATTAAATAACATAAATGATATAAATGTCGCCGATCAGGATGGAATGGACGCATTAATGTTAGCGTCTGAAAATGGGCATGAAAATGCTGTAGAACTTTTAATTAAGAAAGGCATTAAAGTAAATAATGTTAATAACCATCGACGTACAGCTTTAATGCTCACCTCAAGAAAAGGACATGGAAGAATTGTAAAACTTTTGATAGCAAGTGGAGCTGATGTGAATGTTGTTGACAATGATGGCTGGAATGCATTAATGTTTTCATCTGAAATAGGGGATGACAAGATTGTTGAATTGTTAACAAACAGCGGGTATAATATAAATGCAGTTGACAATGATGGAATGAATTCATTAATAATTGCTGCAAAAAAAGGACACGACATAGTAGTTGAAATTTTAATTAATTGCGGGTTTAACATAAATGCTGTTGACAAAAATGGATGGTGTGCATTAATGTTCGCAATTCAAAATCAGCATAAAAATGTGTTAAAACTACTAATTGATAGCGGATGTATTTTTAATGCAGTTAACAATGATGGGGAAAATGCATTAGATATTGCGCGTCGAAACGAGGATGAAGAAACTTTAAAGCTTATTTTTGATCACAAAAGTAAAATTTACTCCCTTATCCAGGAGTTTAAAGTTTATTTCAACATACATGAAACGATGTCTTTGTTCAGTGAATGTACTCCATTAATGCTGGCATCTCAGCGCGGAGACACAAATGCAGTTGAGCTGTTAATTTTAAGTGGAATTGATATAAACGCTGTTAATATACATGGCGAAAGTGCTCTGATGCTCGCTTGTGAATGGGGACACGAAACAACTATAATAATATTGATTACAGCTGGATGTGATGTTAATGCTGTTGACAAAAATGGAAATAATGCATTAATGTTTGCGACAAGGCAAGGGAATTACAAAGTTGTAGAAGCTTTAATCAACAAGGGGTGTGATGTTAATGCTGTTAACAAAACAAGATTGAATGCATTATTGCTTGCGATTAATTATAAGCATGAAAACGTTATTGAACTGTTAATTAATAGCGGGTGTAATGCTAATGCAATGTATAAGAAAAGGGAATATTCATTAAATATTGTCTATCTAAGAGAGGATAAAGAAATGGTAAAATTAATTTTTGATTACATGTGTAATACAAATCATCTTTTTATAGCAGCGTACTTTGGGAAAACAAATGCGTTCGAAATGTTACTTAAAAATGGAATGGACATTAATCAAAACGAAACTTTGTTACATGGAAGTAATGCCTTAATGTTTGCGTCTCAGAACGGTCACACAAATGCTGTTGAGCTGTTGATTAAAAACGGAGCTAATGTAAATGAAGTTTATAAAACTAATAAAGTCAATGCTCTTATGCTCGCCTCAAAGGAAGGACATGATACCGTTGTTAAGACATTGATTGACGTAGGAGCTGATGTAAATGTTGTTAATAAGAATGGTGACAATACTCTTACACTAGCATCACAAGGAGGATATAATACTGTTGTAAAGATATTGATTGAGGTTGGAGCTAATGTAAATGTTGTTAATAAAAATGGTGACAATGCTCTTACACTAGCATCACAAGAAGGACATGACACTGTTGTTAAGACATTGATTAAGGTTGGTGCTGATGTAAATGCTGTCAATAAAAATGGTTACACTGCTCTTACACTAGCATCATATAAAGGACACGATACTGTTGTTAAGACATTGATTGAGGTAGGCGCTGATGTAAATGTTGTTAATAAAACTGGTGACAATGCTCTTACACTAGCATCATATAAAGGACACGATAACGTTGTTAAGACATTGATTGAGGTAGGAGCTGATGTAAATGTTGTTAACCAAAATGGTGACAATGCTCTTACACTAGCATCATATAAAGGACATGATAATGTTGTTAAGACATTAATTGCTGGTGGAGCTGATATAAATGCTTTTGATAAAATGGGTGACAATGCCCTTACACTAGCATCATATGAAGGACATGATACTGTTGTTAAGACATTAATTGCTGGTGGAGCTTATGTAAATGCTTTTGATAAATATGGTGACAATGCTCTTACACTAGCATCATATAAAGGACACGATACTGTTGTTAAGACATTAATTGAGGTAGGAGCTGATGTTAATGTTGTTAATAAAAATGGTGACAATGCTCTTACACTAGCATCATATGAAGGACATGATACCATTGTTAAGACATTAATTGCTTGTGGAGCTGATGTAAATTATTTTGATAAAAATGGTTACACTGCTCTTACACTAGCATCTGTTAAAGGACATGATACTGTTGTTAAGACATTGATTGAGGACGGTGCTGATGTTACTGCAGTTAATACAAATGGTGACAATGCTCTTATTCTAGCATCATGTAAAGGACATGATACTGTTGTTAAGACATTAATTGCTGGTGGAGCTGATGTAAATTATTTTAAACAAAATGGTGACAATGCTCTTACACTAGCATCACAAGACGGACATGATTCAGTTGTTAAGACATTGATTAAAGTTGGGGCTCATGTAAATGCTGTTAATAAAAATGGTGACAATGCTCTTACACTAGCATCACAAGAAGGATATGATACCGTTGTTAAGACATTGATTAAAGTTGGTGCTCATGTAAATGCTGTTAATAAATATGATGACAATGCTCTTACACTAGCATTACAAGGAGAATACGATATCGTTATTAAGACATTGTTGGCAGGTGGAGCTAATGTAAATTATGTTAATAAAAGTATTATAGATGGTGCTCTGTTGCTCGCCTCAAAAAAAGGATATACAAATATTGTTAAGACATTAATTGAACATAGAGCTGATGTAAATGCTGTTGATAAAAATTGTGACAATGCTCTTACACTAGCATCACAAAGAGGACATGATACCGTTGTTAAAACATTGATTATAGGTGGAGCTGATGTAAATGCTGTTAATAAAAATGGTGACAATGCTCTTACACTAGCATCACAAGAAGGGCATGATACCGTTATTACGACATTGATTAAAGTTGGTGCTGATGTAAATGTTGTTAATAAAAATGGTGACAATGCTCTTACACTAGCATCACAAGAAGGACATGATGCCGTTGTTAAGACATTGATTAAAGTTGGTGCTGATGTAAATGTTGTTAATAAAAATGGTGACAATGCTCTTACACTAGCATCATATGAAGGACATGATACTGTTGTTAAGACATTGATTGAGGTAGGAGCTGATGTAAATGTTGTTAACCAAAATGGTGACAATGCTCTTACACTAGCATCATATAAAGGACATGATAATGTTGTTAAGACATTAATTGCTGGTGGAGCTGATATAAATGCTTTTGATAAAATGGGTGACAATGCCCTTACACTAGCATCATATGAAGGACATGATACTGTTGTTAAGACATTAATTGCTGGTGGAGCTTATGTAAATGCTTTTGATAAATATGGTGACAATGCTCTTACACTAGCATCATATAAAGGACACGATACTGTTGTTAAGACATTAATTGAGGTAGGAGCTGATGTTAATGTTGTTAATAAAAATGGTGACAATGCTCTTACACTAGCATCATATGAAGGACATGATACCATTGTTAAGACATTAATTGCTGGTGGAGCTGATGTAAATTATTTTGATAAAAATGGTTACACTGCTCTTACACTAGCATCTGTTAAAGGACATGATACTGTTGTTAAGACATTGATTGAGGACGGTGCTGATGTTACTGCAGTTAATACAAATGGTGACAATGCTCTTATTCTAGCATCATGTAAAGGACATGATACTGTTGTTAAGACATTAATTGCTGGTGGAGCTGATGTAAATTATTTTAAACAAAATGGTGACAATGCTCTTACACTAGCATCACAAGACGGACATGATTCAGTTGTTAAGACATTGATTAAAGTTGGGGCTCATGTAAATGCTGTTAATAAAAATGGTGACAATGCTCTTACACTAGCATCACAAGAAGGATATGATACCGTTGTTAAGACATTGATTAAAGTTGGTGCTCATGTAAATGCTGTTAATAAATATGATGACAATGCTCTTACACTAGCATTACAAGGAGAATACGATATCGTTATTAAGACATTGTTGGCAGGTGGAGCTAATGTAAATTATGTTAATAAAAGTATTATAGATGGTGCTCTGTTGCTCGCCTCAAAAAAAGGATATACAAATATTGTTAAGACATTAATTGAACATAGAGCTGATGTAAATGCTGTTGATAAAAATTGTGACAATGCTCTTACACTAGCATCACAAAGAGGACATGATACCGTTGTTAAAACATTGATTATAGGTGGAGCTGATGTAAATGCTGTTAATAAAAATGGTGACAATGCTCTTACACTAGCATCACAAGAAGGGCATGATACCGTTATTACGACATTGATTAAAGTTGGTGCTGATGTAAATGTTGTTAATAAAAATGGTGACAATGCTCTTACACTAGCATCACAAGAAGGACATGATGCCGTTGTTAAGACATTGATTAAAGTTGGTGCTGATGTAAATGTTGTTAATAAAAATGGTGACAATGCTCTTACACTAGCATCATATAAAGGACACGATACTGTTGTTAAGACATTAAACGCTGGTGGAGCTGAAGTAAATTTTGTTAATAAAAATGGTGACAATGCTCTTACACTAGCATCACAAGAAGGACATGATTCAGTTGTTAAGGCATTGATTAAAGTTGGTGCTGATGTAAATGCTGTTAATAAAAATGAGGACAATGCTCTTACACTAGCATTACAAGGAGAACACGATATTGTTGTTAAGACATTGTTGGCAGGTGGAGCTAATGTAAATTATGTTAATAAAAGTATTATAGATGGTGCTCTGTTGCTCGCCTCAAAAAAGGGATATACAAATTTTGTTAAGACATTAATTGAACATAGAGCTGATGTAAATGCTGTTGATAAAAATTGTGACAATGCTCTTACACTAGCATCACAAAGAGGACATGCGACCGTTGTTAAAACATTGATTATAGGTGGAGCTGATGTAAATGCTGTTAATAAAAATGGTGACAATGCTCTTACACTAGCATTGCAAGGAGAACACGATACCGTTGTTAAGACATTGATTGCAGGTGGAGCTAATGTAAATGAAGTTAGTAAAAGTAGTGGAGATGGTGTTCTGTTGCTCGCCTCAAAAAGGGGATATACAAATGGTGTTAAGACATTGATTGCTGGTGGAGCTGATGTAAATGCTGTTGATAAAAATTGTGACAATGCTCTTACACTAGCGTCACAAGGAGGACATGCGACCGTTGTTAAAACATTGATTATAGGTGGAGCTGATGTAAATGCTGTTAATAAAAATGGTGACAATGCTCTTATACTAGCATCACAAGAAGGACATGATACCGTTATTACGACATTGATTAAAGTTGGTGCTGATGTAAATGTTGTTAATAAAAATGGTGACAATGCTCTTACACTAGCATCACAAGAAGGACATGATGCCGTTGTTAAGACATTGATTAAAGTTGGTGCTGATGTAAATGTTGTTAATAAAAATGGTGACAATGCTCTTACACTAGCATCATATAAAGGACACGATACTGTTGTTAAGACATTAAACGCTGGTGGAGCTGAAGTAAATTTTGTTAATAAAAATGGTGACAATGCTCTTACACTAGCATCACAAGAAGGACATGATTCAGTTGTTAAGGCATTGATTAAAGTTGGTGCTGATGTAAATGCTGTTAATAAAAATGAGGACAATGCTCTTACACTAGCATTACAAGGAGAACACGATATTGTTGTTAAGACATTGTTGGCAGGTGGAGCTAATGTAAATTATGTTAATAAAAGTATTATAGATGGTGCTCTGTTGCTCGCCTCAAAAAAGGGATATACAAATTTTGTTAAGACATTAATTGAACATAGAGCTGATGTAAATGCTGTTGATAAAAATTGTGACAATGCTCTTACACTAGCATCACAAAGAGGACATGCGACCGTTGTTAAAACATTGATTATAGGTGGAGCTGATGTAAATGCTGTTAATAAAAATGGTGACAATGCTCTTACACTAGCATTGCAAGGAGAACACGATACCGTTGTTAAGACATTGATTGCAGGTGGAGCTAATGTAAATGAAGTTAGTAAAAGTAGTGGAGATGGTGTTCTGTTGCTCGCCTCAAAAAGGGGATATACAAATGGTGTTAAGACATTGATTGCTGGTGGAGCTGATGTAAATGCTGTTGATAAAAATTGTGACAATGCTCTTACACTAGCGTCACAAGGAGGACATGCGACCGTTGTTAAAACATTGATTATAGGTGGAGCTGATGTAAATGCTGTTAATAAAAATGGTGACAATGCTCTTATACTAGCATCACAAGAAGGACATGATACCGTTGTTAAGACATTGATTGCAGGTGGAGCTAATGTAAATGAAGTTACTAAAACTAGTGGAGATGGTAATCTGTTGCTCGCCTCAAAAAGGGGATACACAAATGTTGTTAAGACATTAATTGCTGGTGGGGCTGATGTAAATGCTGTTAATAAAAATGGTGACAATGCTCTTACACTAGCATCATATGAAGGACATGATACTGTTGTTAAGACATTGATTGAGGTAGGAGCTGATGTAAATGTTGTTAACCAAAATGGTGACAATGCTCTTACACTAGCATCATATAAAGGACATGATAATGTTGTTAAGACATTAATTGCTGGTGGAGCTGATATAAATGCTTTTGATAAAATGGGTGACAATGCCCTTACACTAGCATCATATGAAGGACATGATACTGTTGTTAAGACATTAATTGCTGGTGGAGCTTATGTAAATGCTTTTGATAAATATGGTGACAATGCTCTTACACTAGCATCATATAAAGGACACGATACTGTTGTTAAGACATTAATTGAGGTAGGAGCTGATGTTAATGTTGTTAATAAAAATGGTGACAATGCTCTTACACTAGCATCATATGAAGGACATGATACCATTGTTAAGACATTAATTGCTGGTGGAGCTGATGTAAATTATTTTGATAAAAATGGTTACACTGCTCTTACACTAGCATCTGTTAAAGGACATGATACTGTTGTTAAGACATTGATTGAGGACGGTGCTGATGTTACTGCAGTTAATACAAATGGTGACAATGCTCTTATTCTAGCATCATGTAAAGGACATGATACTGTTGTTAAGACATTAATTGCTGGTGGAGCTGATGTAAATTATTTTAAACAAAATGGTGACAATGCTCTTACACTAGCATCACAAGACGGACATGATTCAGTTGTTAAGACATTGATTAAAGTTGGGGCTCATGTAAATGCTGTTAATAAAAATGGTGACAATGCTCTTACACTAGCATCACAAGAAGGATATGATACCGTTGTTAAGACATTGATTAAAGTTGGTGCTCATGTAAATGCTGTTAATAAATATGATGACAATGCTCTTACACTAGCATTACAAGGAGAATACGATATCGTTATTAAGACATTGTTGGCAGGTGGAGCTAATGTAAATTATGTTAATAAAAGTATTATAGATGGTGCTCTGTTGCTCGCCTCAAAAAAAGGATATACAAATATTGTTAAGACATTAATTGAACATAGAGCTGATGTAAATGCTGTTGATAAAAATTGTGACAATGCTCTTACACTAGCATCACAAAGAGGACATGATACCGTTGTTAAAACATTGATTATAGGTGGAGCTGATGTAAATGCTGTTAATAAAAATGGTGACAATGCTCTTACACTAGCATCACAAGAAGGGCATGATACCGTTATTACGACATTGATTAAAGTTGGTGCTGATGTAAATGTTGCTAATAAAAATGGTGACAATGCTCTTACACTAGCATCACAAGAAGGACATGATGCCGTTGTTAAGACATTGATTAAAGTTGGTGCTGATGTAAATGTTGTTAATAAAAATGGTGACAATGCTCTTACACTAGCATCATATAAAGGACACGATACTGTTGTTAAGACATTAAACGCTGGTGGAGCTGAAGTAAATTTTGTTAATAAAAATGGTGACAATGCTCTTACACTAGCATCACAAGAAGGACATGATTCAGTTGTTAAGGCATTGATTAAAGTTGGTGCTGATGTAAATGCTGTTAATAAAAATGAGGACAATGCTCTTACACTAGCATTACAAGGAGAACACGATATTGTTGTTAAGACATTGTTGGCAGGTGGAGCTAATGTAAATTATGTTAATAAAAGTATTATAGATGGTGCTCTGTTGCTCGCCTCAAAAAAGGGATATACAAATTTTGTTAAGACATTAATTGAACATAGAGCTGATGTAAATGCTGTTGATAAAAATTGTGACAATGCTCTTACACTAGCATCACAAAGAGGACATGCGACCGTTGTTAAAACATTGATTATAGGTGGAGCTGATGTAAATGCTGTTAATAAAAATGGTGACAATGCTCTTACACTAGCATTGCAAGGAGAACACGATACCGTTGTTAAGACATTGATTGCAGGTGGAGCTAATGTAAATGAAGTTAGTAAAAGTAGTGGAGATGGTGTTCTGTTGCTCGCCTCAAAAAGGGGATATACAAATGGTGTTAAGACATTGATTGCTGGTGGAGCTGATGTAAATGCTGTTGATAAAAATTGTGACAATGCTCTTACACTAGCGTCACAAGGAGGACATGCGACCGTTGTTAAAACATTGATTATAGGTGGAGCTGATGTAAATGCTGTTAATAAAAATGGTGACAATGCTCTTATACTAGCATCACAAGAAGGACATGATACCGTTGTTAAGACATTGATTGCAGGTGGAGCTAATGTAAATGAAGTTACTAAAACTAGTGGAGATGGTAATCTGTTGCTCGCCTCAAAAAGGGGATACACAAATGTTGTTAAGACATTAATTGCTGGTGGGGCTGATGTAAATGCTGTTAATAAAAATGGTGACAATGCTCTTACACTAGCATCATATGAAGGACATGATACTGTTGTTAAGACATTGATTGAGGTAGGAGCTGATGTAAATTTTTTTAATAAAAATGGTGACAATGCTCTTACACTAGCATCATACAAAGGACATGATACAAGGCATTGATTGAGGTAGGAGCTGATGTAAATGCTGTTAATAAAAATGGTGACAATGCTCTTACACTAGCATTGCAAGGAGAACACGATACCGTTGTTAAGACATTGATTGCAGGTGGAGCTAATGTAAATGAAGTTAGTAAAAGTAGTGGAGATGGTGTTCTGTTGCTCGCCTCAAAAAGGGGATATACAAATGGTGTTAAGACATTGATTGCTGGTGGAGCTGATGTAAATGCTGTTAATAAAAATGGTGACAGTGCTCTTACACTAGCATCACAAGGAGGACATGTTACCGTTGTTAAGACATTGATTGAGGTAGGAGCTGATGTGAATGCTGTTAACAATAATGGAGACTTTGCTTTAATAGTCGCAATACAAGGAGGAAATGAGGCCGTTGTAAGGACACTTATTACGGGAGGAGCTAACGTAAATGCTGTTAACAGAGATGGACGCAATGCTTTGATGCTCGCTACTACTACAGGAAAAGAAAAAATTATCAAGATATTGATCAATGCAAAAGGTGATTTAAATGGTGTTGATATACTTGGTAAAAGTGCATTAATGCTAGCCGTTGAAAATGGGAAAGATAACATTGTACAACTGCTTATAGACAGCGGATGTGATATTAATATTGTAGACAAACGTAGATATAATGCCCTCGTGATTGCCGCGTTTTGTAATAGTAAAAATGCGTTTAAAATGTTGTTAAAAACATCGCGCTTACTTGACTACAACCGTTTTCTGATGAAGAGACTATTTCAAATGTGTTCTGAGATTCTAAATTCGAACGACGAGAAAGCTAAGGATAACACAGTTGATTTTCTTCTGAAATTTGCTGAAAGCAATCCCAATAGTCTAAGAGAAAACTTTATACTGGGAACCCTTAAATCGATACAAATACGCTCTGATAAAAAACTTCAATGCAAGATTTCTCGTGTACTTTGGCATGTCAACAAATCTATGATTTGTTTGGATCCAGGTGCAGGTAAGTCTAATAGCAATTCACTTTTAAAAAAAATGGATATTTTATTAAATTATGTTTGTGAACACAGTTAAAAGAAACAAGAAATGGGTCCGAAGAAATGATTTTTAAATAATCCAATATACATTTTTATCGTGGAAAAAAAGATCTTTTTTTTAGAAAAAAGCTTTATTTTACAAAACGTATCGAAATATTTATGTAAGAAATATTGGCTTTTGTCAAGTAAAACTGTTATCTGGAGTTACCACAAACATTACACCATTTTTAGTAACCCCCTGGGTTTCGAAATAAGCAATTAACAAAACGTTTTGACCTGGGACATTAGTTTTGATAAATAGATCATATTATTATATATTCACTCGCGGTCAGGTTTTAGCCTTCGTGGAGCGATCAGAGGCTGATGGCTAGTTTTTTTTCAGATAACCCAGTCATTTATATAGGTATATGGAAAAACAAGTAGCCAGATGTACAAAAATCCTAAAACTTGTTTTGAAATTAGTCATCGAGTTTACACCATATTAACAATGCTTATGTACGTAATTCGGACTGGTAATTTTTTAAATCCTTCCGAGGTTTTCCCGAATGTGATACGAAATAGAGGAAGTATTGTAGTCGTGCAAAAAATCGTTTTTTACAAATCTCGATGTTTTATACAAACCTCGAGTCGGAAAATCTTAGCGATTTTGTCCGTATGTCTGTGTGTTTATGTGTTTTGTATCTGTGTGTCTGTGAAAACAAAAACTTGAGTACCGTTAGAACTAGATTGATGGCATTACATATATAAGTATTTTATCGAATTTACAGTTCTGTATCAACTTCTCAGCTATTTCGGGAACCGGAAGTGTAGCTTACCTTACTTTTGGTTTTTCAAACGCCTATACCTTGAGCACTGTTTCTGATAGATATACGAAATTTCACAAATAAGTAAAAGATCTCATTTTCTTTTTTTTGAGTAATTTTTGGTGACCGGAAGTATTGATTTACGCTATTTCGGATTTCTTAAAAAAACGCTTATCTAATATATTTGGCTCAAATGTCTTTTGGTGGAAGACATGCATAAAGTAGAAAACTCAAATTGATCGTCATTGTGTAATATTTTTAAAGTGTTAATTTTTTTTGCTTAAATCAAAATTGACGAATTTTAAAAACACAACATTGATTTTTTCAAATTTAATTTAAATTTTACTACTCATCACCTTAATACACGAAATGTGCACACACAAAAACATTAACTAAATATAAAGGTTTACCCTCACAAAACTTTTAATTATGTGTCAAAAAAGTTTTCTAATTACGTCTATTTGTACCAATTGCCTTCCTTGATATTTAAGTAAATCAGAAAACAAATTGCTTTTCTTCGTTTCTTTTGCTGTTGGGATTTTTTTTCTAATTAGCATGGTTTAATAAAGTGCAATGTGGTAGGTAAAACACAGGTACTTCAAATACTACATTTTGTTTATTTTATACATTGAATGTACAGATTTGATATATAACGTTTTGCCGTTCCTAAATGTCCTCCATTTTTACGTTATGTTCCATTTGCGTTATTGTTTAATTTTTTAAGTTTGCGTTTCTGTTTGTGTTTGCATTTTGTTTGTGTTTGTGTTTGTGCCTGCGTTTGTGTTTGTTTTTGGTTTTGATTGTGATTGGTTGTGGCCATCGTTTAGCGAAGAGTTCGAGTTAAGGTTATGTGTGATTTTCTATTTGCACATAGACATTTAAATGTAAAAGTAATATATTTCCTAAACCTGGGAAATGATGGGTATATGATCTTTAATAAATACACAAGTCATGGTCCTTTACAAATAGGTTTTTCACAGAGGCCAGGGCAGGACCTCGCCGTTACGGCTAGTATATATATAATCTCATATTTTCCTGTTCGTGCCCAAGACACATGGTGCATATAAAGCAGAGGTTATCATAATTAGTAACCCTGGTATATGTAGGTTAGTGTGGTTAGCACTATTCCCAACCACCTTTTCCTTCCCTAACTTGAGCTGAATACAAATCAGAGATGGGTAAACACAAGGAAGTTTTACCATGATTTGAACTGGACACTTTCGAATTAACAGTCTACCGCTATACTGATAGGCCACGCTGTACAATATACACACATTTATATATATTCATATATATATATATATATATATATATATATATATATATATATATATATATATATATATATATATATAGGCCCTATATATATATTTATATTTATATATACGCTTATATACTAACTTGAAAACATTAGGTCTATTTTTACTTTTTCGTATATACGAAGTAGCCTATAGAGAAAGTATTGTAATCGTGCAAAAAATAAATCGAGATTTTTACAAATCTCGATATTTTACACCTCACTGATACGGAAAAACATAATTTTGCAATCTTGTCCGTATGTCTGTGTGTGTGTGTGTGTGTGTGTGTCTGTGTGTAAACACAATAACTTGAGTACCGTTACAGCAAGGTTGATGAAATTTAATATATATATATTGTATCAGAATCGTAGATCCGTTTCAACTTTTGAGCGATTCCCGATAACCGGAAGTGGTACTTTTTCTTTTTTGAATTTTTCAAAAGCCTATAACTTGAGTACTATTTCAGATAGATAAATGAAATTTCACATGTAAGTAAAAAATCTATTTCTCTACCATCTTTCAAATTGTGAGTAATTTCCGTTGACCGGAAGTACTAATTTACGCTATTTCCGATTTCTCAAATGTGAAAAACCTATCTGTAAAGGACCATCTTATGTGTTTATGTAATCAGAATATATCCGGCATTGCCCACCCTAACCACAATCAACTAAAACCAAAACACACAAAAAAGTACCGCGAACAAAACACAAACACAACACAAACACAACACAAACACAACACAACACAACCACAACACAAACACAAACACAATCACAACACAACACAACACAACACAAACAAAACACAACACAACACAACACAAACAAAACACAACACAAACCGGGACGGCTAGTATATAAAATGGTATATCTTCTGGTAGTTTGGGCAGGCGTCTATAAAAGAGTTTTCTGAAACATGACATGTGTGTTTAGTAATCAGCATATACCCGGCATTGCCCACTCTAACCACAAACAACCAAAACCAAAACACAAATAAAGAAAGGAAACATAACATAAACGCAAACACTAATGCAAACGATAACACAAACACAAATACGAACCCAAACCCAACCACAAACACAAAACCAACTACAAACACAAATACAAATACAACCCCAAAGAAAAAAACACAAACGAAAACGAAAAAGAAAGAACGAAAATGAACAAAATCAAAACGCAAACCCAACCACTAATGAAAACCCAACCTAAACACAATGGAAACACAAACGCGAACATAAACGCAAAGTGCTCACATTAATTTAGAAAGAAATCCATGTTTTCAACAAGCTAAACAAGTATGGTGAATTGTGACGTTTTTTATATGTGGCGACCTGGTTTTGTGTGATCATGTGTGATAGTGGGGGTGACATTTATTGAGCATCCATAAACCCATAGTTATCAAACATGCGGTTCAGTAGTTTTAAATTATTTTACTTGTTAAAAATATTCTATTTTAATATTCATACGTTAAAAAAATGATGTTTTTTAATAGATAAATATCTTGCACCTTGTGTACCAAGTAACTGGACGAGAAGTCGGCTAATCGGACAAGGCGCCACTGGGAGTGTTTACATAGTAAACAGCGATGATATGGACACTGGCATGAATTTTGCTGTCAAAGAAATAATTTATAAGGAATCAAATATCGTATGTAGATAGATAAACGATTCTTAAAATTATTTTTTATTTATTTTTGCTATTATAATGAACACACTGCAAACAGATAATAATGGTAAATATTAGAAAAATGCTAATATTTTAACTTCGAACTAGCAAATTCTCGTAGGCCAGGGGTCGGCAACCTTTTGAGACCGAAGAGCCAAAAGTTACAATTTACAAAATTTCCCAGTTTTTAAAGAGCCGCCAACATGTTTTTAAAATATTATGATCTTTATTTAGGATTTGGTATATAATCAATGTTTGTGTGTTCGTCTGTGTGTGTGTCTGTTTTTCTTTTATGCATTGCTACACCTTTCATCCGATCGCCATGAAACTTTGGGAACTTTGGGAAGTTGCTAAGAATGCTCATGGAAATGTTTCTGCGAAAAAAGTTTTTCAAACTCTCAGGATTGCCCCCCTCACCCCCGGCAGCGCGCTATTCGATTCTTCTCTATAAACTGTATATAAAAGTAAAGTTGATTGCGGTTTGACACCGTTCATCCGATCGTCATGAAACCTTCCGAAGCTGACTAAAACACTCCAGGGGAGGTTTGTACACACAAAGAAAATCATTTTTAATTTTGTATGGGCGGCGTCGGGTGGTGTAATTTTTTGTCAATACACCTTTTGGCGCCCAGAGTTCCCGAGCGGCTATGTTAGTACTTGGCATCCGTTAATCGGGCGTTCTGCATATCGGGTAAGGAGTACGACTGTATTCAGCGGCAAAAACTGCAACAGTTGCAACCGCCGGCGCCTCGTCGATTGCGCGACCCGAAGCGCCCCGGGCTCACCTGCGAGAATTATGGCGCCTACGTTCGTTTTTTAAAATAGGCTATACACTATAGACATGCGTTGATTTAGTCGATTACTAAATCGAATCAGGCGCATCCTCCGGCTTCTCTGCAGGGTGCGATTTGGCGCCCTGGGCTATCCCGCGAGCACTAAGCGCCTATCTTAGTTTTAAGGAGCATCCTGCAATACGACATACGATGATTAAACCGAATTAGGGGCCGTACGCAGCGCCACTGCGGGTTCACGAGAGAGCCACTTTCCGTCCTCGACAATTAGTCGGTGAGTGATTAACGGCGATAATACGGCGAGTGATTAACTTACACCCAAGACATTCATACAGCACGCCATGGTGGTGGGCGGTAGTGTAGGTAACCAGTGCCTCGATAAATATGATCCAAACACAGGCATTGTTTACACTTAAATAACTAAGCCTTAGAAAACAAGGAAGTACATTGAAATAGGGAGTAACTAAATATTCTAATCGAATAGTGAATGTTTATTGTTTATGTCTATTGTTATATCGTTCATTACCGAGTTCTGAAGACTAATATTTTTATGAGTTTTAAAAATAAAATAAAATAATTATTAATATTTGTGCATCGAGCTGAAGAGCCGCATCTTGACACCAAAAGAGCCGCATGCGGCTCGCGAGCCGCAGGTTGCCGACCCCTGTCATAGGCAGTTGTTTATCTAATATATAAAGTTTCAATGGACTCTATTGTATTTTTTCGTTTTAATATAGATCCTCTCTTGCTACTTTCCAACTCGAGCAAGAGTAGGCAGCAAGAGCAGGTTTCATGATAATGCATCTATAAAGTTTTATACTTATTTATACATACTAGTCTGTTCTCTTTGAATCGTCCTTGACCTTCTTACTTCTTGTAGAATTTGTTTACACTTCCGGTTTCTTGGTTTTTCTTTTACATGATAATACATACTCGCTTCTCGTAGTTCTTTTGCCGTGCTTCTTACGAATATTACAATCTTGGTTGGGCTGTGGTTGTTTCTTAGTTGGTAGTATCGTCTTTTAGAGTCATTGTAGTTTATAGCTTAAGAGGGAGTGAGGCAGTACCGTTGGGTATTCTCCTAGGTGGGTGACGTCAAGCTGAAAAAATAGAACAATATAGATTAGCCACTCGTATATTTGGAAACCACCCTATACAGGTACTGGATGACTTATCTCGACGGACTAGTGCACTTTGAGAGATGTGTGGGTGCAACTCCACAGCGATCGGTGTGGAGATTTGCAATTGATTGCTTGATTAGTTGAGTTTATTTGACCAACTTCTCGACCCCAGCAGGGCTGACTAACCAAATGGATAAGATCTGTGCAGAATTCATAACATATACTACACTTTGATCTTAGCAAAAGGCCGAGAAGCGATCAAACAGAGGACAAAAGTTTTGTGAACGTTATAAATAGATGACCCCTAATGTATATACTTTGGTTTTAATTTTTTGCTAAAAGGTATCGGTAGCCTGTGTTTTATTAAATGTGTCGCATTTTAGCTTTTTAGTTATTTCTTTGCTTTGGCACTAGAATTGTTCAACGTGTAGTATGCACATTGCCTTTCGACCAATACCTATACATAATTTTCTCAAGCAAGTATAACATTTTAAAAATATACGCCGATAATTCACGTGTAACGGGTACCGATGGCCGGTACAGACTAAAGATAGACTAAATCTAGACACGTTTCCATGCAGATGGTTTTCCTCTAAACATTTTTCTTCTTTGCGGGAAGGGGGGGGGGCACTTTAAATTTTCGTGGGGGAGGAATATATTTATAGAAAGGCGGGCAATGGTAAAAGGATATATTTTCTATCTAAATTCTATATCGTAATGTTCATGGGCAGGTGGGGGGGTCGAAGAATCGCCCTTAAGAAACTCTACGTGCAGACCACTACTAAGATTAGACAATTAAATTATGCTGTAATGGTAGTGTCTGTATTATCGAGTATCGATGACGTCATTACCATTGTGTATTGTTTTCGACAATTCAATTTTTAAATATGACTTTTCTTTACAATTAATGCTGTCATTCTTTTTCTTGTCGTTTTGGGAAATGTAAACATTATAAGTTTCGTTTCGTTTGACTTGATTTTATAAAGCTTTCTTAGTTTCATGTGACCTCATGCAATCTGCCTGTGACAGTTTTTATTATCCTTGTGTGTCTAGAGCGTTCCGGATAAAAAGAGTGACAGAATAGTGAAACTATTATATAGAAGAATTTTTTAATATTTTGAAAAAACTATTAACAGTATCGTCATATATTGAGTCCATGGCTTCCCTAGATTGTCTCAATTCATGAATTTATTTTCTTTACCTTACTCTTATTCATTTGGAATTCGAACCTTAAAAAACTCTACTCTTTAATTAAATGGTAGTTTAAAATAAAATGATAAACTGCTTATAGAACTTGAAGAACAAAAAAACTGACAGTAAAATAAAAAATTGTATATATTCTGCTAATCTAAGAATCATTTTCGTTACAGTCAAGGTATTATTCTGAAGTGAATATTTTGATGAAGCTACAACACACAAGTATTATAAATTTTTACGGATTTGAGATCAAAGAAAGAAGAATTTACTTATTTTTTGACTACTTGCCACAGGTAGGCCTATATATAATCAATTTTCATTTATTAAATAGGAAAAAAATCCAACGAGATTTGGAAATGTCATATATGTGATACATTTGTTACTTCTGGCAAAACATACAACCATTTTCATCAAAATCATTTATATTCAAACGAAATTTACTTACATAATTTTATTTTACATTTTAGGGGTGTTTAGCAGGATATGTTACAAAAAACAACCCGCTTGATGAATCAAAAATATTCAATTTTACCAAGCAAATTCTCCAAGGGGTTTCGTATCTTCACAACTTTGATCCACAAATTATACACAGAGATATTAAAGGTGAGTTCGACATTATTATCTTAATAATATTGCATAATTAAAAATTTAATGTAATATATTATGTTTGTATAATTCAGGAGCTAATATATTGCTAAAAGATGAAAACAATGTAAAGCTGGCTGATTTTGGTCTGTCCAAACTTTTGGAGGCAACTTCACCAAGATCGGTTGTTGGGACCTCTAACTTCATGGCACCGGAAGTTGTTTGTGGAAATGAAAAAACTGTTTACACTCTAATGGCTGATATTTGGTGAATATATCTTTTTTTTTCGTTTGTGAATAGCGGTTTCTTATTAATATAAAATCATTACATGCGCTTTATCTTAATTGGTGAATCATACAAGCAATAAATGTTATAAAAACTTTTCACATAATTGTAGTTTAAAATCGAGACATTACATTATGTATTTATAATTATTTAATCATAAATATATGTGTACAATTTATTCAATAACAATTTTAAAATATAAATTATATGTTGCTTAAATATAATAATATTTTATAGGAGTGTTGGGTGTACAGTTGTTGAAATGGCTACAGGGAAACCACCTTTTACAGGATATTTGGATGCACAAATTGCGTACAGATATAAATGTAGAAAAAGGCCAGTATATCAACTTCCAGAAAGTTCATCTAAATCTATAAAACTTTTATTGGAAAAATTGTTGCACATGAATCCTAAAAAACGACCAACTGCAGAAGAGGCACTTGAACGATTTTTTAAAAGTTGACTTTGGTGTAATTGTTATGTTTTTGCTATCTATTTTAAATACACGTATATATATATATATATATATATATATATATATATATATATATATATATATATATGTGTGAATGTATGTGTGTTTTTAGGCTTGTCTGTTTTTCTTTCATGCATTATTACACATTTCATGCTATCGCCACGAACATATGGAAACATGATGAGAATACTTCTGGTGAGTTTCTGCGAAAAGTAATATTTCAAATTCGCAGAGCATAATTTGATTCATTTCTATATACGGTATTTAAATATAAAAGTCGATTACCGTTCGACGCAGTTCTTCCGATCGTCATGAAATTTTGGTGATTTGATGAAAACACACAGCGGAGGCTTCTGCAATTTTTTTTTATTATTTTTTAATTTCGCAAGGGCAATGCCTAGGGAGAGTGTGATTTTTCTCTATATACGTGGTATAAAAATTAAAAGTCGGATGTGGTTTAACACCGTTCATCCGAGTGCCATTGGGAGTTAATAACAATATTTCCGATAAAGATTCTACGAAAAACATTCTTATTGGCGTCGCCAGGGACGGTGCGATTTTTGTCACGCTTTGGCGCCCAGATATTCAGAGCGGCTATCGTAGCACTTGGTATCCGTTAATCGGGCGTCTGAAATAGCAGGAAAGGCAGTAAAACTACAACAGACGCAGCAATCTCGCTCCATGGTGATTGCGTGTCCCAAAGCTCCCCGGGCTCCTTGGCAGCACGTTTTTTTTAAAAGTCTTTATACTAAAGACACGATGGGCAACATTAATGTTTGATTATCCATCCGGTAAGTGGCAATTATGCGCCGTGGGCTCACCCGTAAGAACTATGACGCCTATGTTCCTTTTTAAACGGCGTGATATGCTATGAATATTATGAGTTGCTAGATTATAGATATAGAGAACTCTTAATAATTCGTAAGTCAGGCGTTTAATGTGCTGAAGCATAAAACAAACGCATCGTCATCATCATCACAGTAGTCGCAAAAGGAAAAGTCCCGATTAAGGACTCAAGGGCAAATGGCTGTGTTGAACGAAATCCCGTCTAACATTACAATGGAGAAAGAAGCAGAAAAAAGGAGATAGCCCCCCCACCCCCCACCCCTTCTTCCGGCTAGAAAAAGTTTTATTGTACATGTTGTTGCGTTACGTCAGGCGAAACAGATCAGTAGTTTCGTAACTGTTATTTTGACATAGTAATGGCTAGTCAGAAATAAGGCAGATATTGCATATTATCTACTTGGTTAAAAAAAATATATATTACCTGCCTTATCGATCCGGAAAAATCTAAGAAAATAAATGCCACCGGGAATTTACGACAATGACAAATCACGTCAACAATTTCATCATTTTACCAAGACAATATATGCCTTGCCCAACTTAAATTACGAATAATGATACTTAAATGAAATTTGTTGTTTAAATGGTTTGTTAAACTCAAGTAATCTTAAACTTACCATTTTAACGAGTTTGAGCACATGCATAAATCTCCATGATAAATATAAATGACCCACTAGACATTTTATTTATTGTCTGTTGAGAAACTGTTTTAAATTACAAACGATCACAGGCGAGATATGTATCAGTAGTAATTCAGTGTTTTCAATGTGAATTGCGGTTGTTATAAAATGTAATCAATATTATTTATTTTAGTCTGTTTTGTGAAAATCAGTTTTATATTATCTCTGCAGTAAGACCTCTAACCTCTTAATGGTCAAAATAATATATAACATGAAAGCTTTCTGTAAATAATGGTGTCTCGTGTCATGTTTATTTTTATGTTTTTTTGTATTTGTATTATTAAATTTAAATACATTTTCTTTTTATACAGTGTCATTCTTTAGTAAGTAATTTATAAAAAAATAACAATAAAGAAAAGTAATTGCTTTTTAATTTGTTTTGTACAAATCTATTAAAAGGAGCTTATGAGCATCCTTATTTGACTATTTAAAAAAGGGAAATAAGTTATGGAAGTGGTTTGAACGTTTGCTAATCTTTGATAAGTTTGATTGTAGGAGAAAGAGGACTCGGCTTTCATAGCGGTTTAAAAACGAAGGAAAAATTGGCGTGGGTGGTGTCTATAGAATAACGATAATCCAACCGCAGCTACGGTAATCTTTTTTACAAAACAAACGTCAAGTCAAAAATGCAAGAATTTTTTTTTTAACTATAACAGTTTTTTTATGGTCGGCAGTTGGCTTCTTAACGACGTGTGCCCCCCCCCCCCATTGCGGGGTCTGGCGGCACTGTAGTTCCGACCCTGACCCTGTTTTATAAAACTATCATTTACGATCATTCAGTTTTGCATTAGACCGTTTATCTTATTCACTACTATTTATTACCAGTTCGAGTAAAATAAATCGCTGTGAACAACACGTTAGTTGTAATTAGCCCCTGACTGCCATTTTAGTAGTAGCCCAAACTCCATGCATTATTGTGAGTCTATTAATTAAACTATAATTATATTTCGCTTTAAAAGTGATACGATGTAAGTAGGCCCTACTTATTAGTTTTGACGATTAACGACACTAAGAACTATTCGTTTTTTTCTTCGTGAAGTCGATACTACATTGTGGTTGGGTGAAAATTATTAAGGAATCAACCTCAAACTTAAAACGGCATCGGCCGAGTTTATTTAGAGGGATTCGATCACCATTTTTAAAGATGTTTATATTTTTTTGTACATTCCTTTCCTGACAAGCCTAAATCTTTTACATAACAATTAACAATAAAAAAAATGTTCTATTACTTCAGTGCGTATGTATTTCTCTAAAATGTACACTATGCCAAGCCTGGCGAGTCTTCGTTTTATAATTACAATGTGGGTATAATTGAAACGAAAATGATTTTGTTTTAAATGTGCCTAAATTAAAAACAACAAAATATACATACATGTTGTACAATCGTCCTACTAAGAAAAGTAAGACTTTTTTATGATCACATACTTTTAATAACACTGTATGATTTTTATGATGATGTTTGTACAACTTTTATAACACAAAGGCAGTGATGTAAATGCTGCTAAAAAGAATGGAATCAATGCTCTAATGCTGGCCTCAAGTAGAAGACATGAGAAGACGGTAAAGCTATTGCTTACAGCAGGTTGTGATGTTAATACTCTTGATAATTATGGATGGAATGCAGTCATCTTTGCTGCCACAAATGGGCATGACAAAGTTATACAACAGTTAATTAAAATTGGAGGTGAAGTAAATGCTGCTGATAAAGATGGAAACTGTGCATTAATTCTAGCTTATAAAAACGGACACTACAATTGTCCAAATTTTACTTAATAGCGATTGTGATGTTAATGCTGCTAACAAAGATGGATTTACTACATTGATGTTAGCGTCTAAAACAATTGTAAAGCAGTTAATAAATAAGGGAAGTAAATTAGATTGTGTTAATAAATCTGGATTAAACGCTTTAATGCTCGCTTCTGCTAGAGGACACAAACAAATTATTCGGCTTTTGATTAAAGCAGGAAGTGATATAAATACTGTTAATAATTGTAAACAAAACGCGTTAATGTTAGCTGCTCAAAATGGGCATGACAACGCTGTCAATCTGTTAATTAATAAGGAGTGTGATGTTAATTCTTTTGATATAGATGGATTTAATGCATTAATTCATGCCTCCTTTCATAGGCGTGAAAGTGTGTTTAAAGTTTTAGTTCAAATTTCAAAATATTTTTACTACTACGGCTATAAGTTAATTAACCTATTTAATGTGTGTTCTAAAATCCTAAATACAAATTACGAAAGAACCCAGGAAACCGTAGTAGATTTTCTTTTACAATTTGCTGAAAACGAGCCTCACCTTCTAAAAGAAAATATTGATTTACTGGAAAATCTTGAATCGATACGAATCATTTTTAAGGAATTAAATATCGTATGTAAATAGATAATCAATGTTTTTAATTATTCAAGCAAACAAATATTGATAATAAAAATTTTAATAATGGAGATTTATGGTTTCAAGTAAGTTTAAAAGCAAAACGATATACATATATATATATAAACATATATATATATATATATATATATATATATATATATATATATATATATATATATATATATATAGGTATATATTCCATAGGTGCGGCACCTTTGCGGTCGTCAATTTTTATTTTGTTTAATTTATTCTCAACTAGAAGGTGGACCGATGGAAATCCCAAAGCACGCGAATGGCTTTAAATCATTCCCGTGATCTTTACGTTTATTTTAATTAGTTATTTATTTATTATTCATATGAGGTTCACGTTAGAAAGAAATCGCGTGATAATTACTATGCCTCTGATTCAGATTCATTGAATCTAGGGTAAATTTATATATATATGCAGAAATATCCCCCCAAATACAAAGCAACGGTATAATGTCCTATGTATGTGTGCGTGTCTATGTGTGTGTTAAAGCTGTTATTTTTAACCTAGGATTCATACATATTAAATCCGCTAATCAACTAACATACAACTTAATAAACTGTTTAGACTTCCAACTTTTGATTAGTGTTAGTAATAGTGTTCATTACCTTTTTTTTTTACTTTCTAGTGTGAATCTTGAAAGTCAACTATTTGGTAAAAATGAACTATAGAAAGATCTAGAGCGCTTCTAATAACTCGAAAGTCAAACGTTATATGGACTGGAGCATAATACCTATCGTCATCACAATAGTCGAAACAGCTAATGGGAAAATCCCGATTTCGAATTCATGGGAACTTGATTCTGTGTGAAGCAAATCCCGTCCAACATTGCAATTTAGAAAGAAGAAGAAAGAATGAGATCCTCCCCCTCTCCCCCTCTCCCGAGCTATAACACGGTTTATTGTATTCATAGTTGCGGTAGGTCAGGCGAAACAGACCAGTAGCATTTCTCAATGATATTTTCAGCTGGTAATACCAACTAAGAAATCAGCTAGGTTAAGTTAAAATATGATTTCTAATAAGGCAGGTAATGCATATTATCAACCCAGTTTTAAAAAAAAAAGATGTATTACCTCCCTTTTTGGTCCGGAAAA